ACATTTTTTTCTCTAATTGTTTTTATAAAATTTGAAATAATGAAACAGTATCACCAAATTCTTTAAATGTTTTTGCTGTTTTGTATTTGAATGTATTTACATTTGTCATAATTGCATAAAATCCTCTATCTACTGATGAGAAGAATCAGTGTTAACATTTTGTCCATCGACAATTTTTTAATGGTATTTTCCAAATCAAAAATCAACAGTTAAACATTTATGTTGTAAAAAATAATTTCGATTGTATTGTGACAACATTTTTTGGGAGTATTATTTAAAAACTTAATTATAAAACAAAAAATTGTACAACAATAAACCTGAATTTACAACAGTTCAAATATTAGTAATATTTCGAAAATCGAAAGTGTACGAATATTTTTTTACGTCACTATAGCATTCCAAATAAAGGTCACTGACTCTTATAAGTTAATTAATAAACCGTAACAGAAAGACAAAAACGATTCAGCTACATAAAAATGATGAAATTGAAGTTTTCAATGGTGTCAGGAAAGTAACAAAAAAGTCCACAACTGTGAAGGATATTTATTAAGCAACCACCGACAGATAATATGTTGTCGCAAAGATTACTACAGTCTGCGTTGACTTAATGAGCGTTCTGCAGGCACGAGGACCATTCAATTAGGCAGTCCAGTTTTTGTCCTGTTGCTCTAATTGAAATTACTGCTCTCTATTTGCAGGTGACACTGGCCCCTAATTGGATAAAATGCGAGTGTGTATCTTGTTCTTCAGCTTGGTGCAATTGGTGTTTGCGTTTCAGCACCCGTTCACGGTAAATAGTGCTGCTTTGTTTTTATTTTGTTGTTAATATTTCTGTTGACGATCGTTCACTTTTATTGGGCTGCTCTGGATAATTTAATTAGAGGGTGAGATTAGTAGACTTAGATTTTAAGCATTTATAACAAAAATATGTAGATCAAATGTAGAATTGTGATGAGTCACTGATGACATTTAAAGATTTTAAACATAATATTGGACTGTTTTCAAATTGTAGCTGTAGCTCGATATTTTCATATTTTCATATTTTAATATTTTCGTATTTTTGTATTTTCGTATTTTCGTATTTTCGTATTTTCATATTTTAAAATTTTCGTATTTTCGTATTTTCATATTCTCATATTCTCATACTTCTAATTATTAGTCTGCGAATTTATACGTATAGATTTTTCAGATGTAAAAAATTAAGAAATTTTAATAGCATTATTATTTTATAACCTAGATCTTCGTGTAGCCAGATAGGTCTAATGAATTTACTAGCCTAATCAAATCACAAGTTTGACTATACTTATTGTTAATAGTAATAAAAGAAATCTTTGTTGAATTTTTAGCTTAATGTAAAATTGTGTATTTCTTGAAAAAAGTAATTTGTGGTAACACGAAGGTCTGAGTTACACGACAGTGGTCATATGTTTCACAGCATATATCTCGTGGACATGGTAATTTACATAGAATTGTCGACTGAAATTGATTGATTTTTCTACACCTGAATCATATTTATATGAACTTTAATTATTGTCTTTATCATTTTTATTAATCGTTATTATTTATATATGTCGAAATTTTGCCATCGATAATAGTTCCTATTCTAATAACTAATTTTCCTTATTATTGTAATGTTTAATATAAAAATCTATGTCACAGATTTTAAGCCCAATGTAACCACAAATTAACGTTATTTATAGTACTTTTAATTGGAAAAGTTGTTCGATTCAAAATTCATGTGACAAATGAATAAAGTCGTACATAATTAATATTTTTAGTGAGAGAATCATTATACATAAGTTCTTTGTTAACTAGTTCCCACCTGGCCAGTTGGACACCAATAACGAAACAGCAGGATGTTGTTCCTGCACTTTCAAAGACTCGTTCTACATGGACGCGAAATGTGGCGCGACGACTCCATTTATGAATCTGATACAAAAAGTGATGGTATCTAGATGCGATATCTCAAGTCCTTGTTCCAGGCTTGGAAAGGAAACGGTGCCTCAAGAATGGTATGATTCACACTCGTTTCTAGTAAATAACTAATTCCGCATACTTGATTATGTCGAACTTTACAGAAATTCATCTGTTTTGCTTCCTCCTTCGTAAGAATTATGTCAACCATAGAGTGAGAAAATATTCCATAAAAATTTCATTTCAAAAACTAGAACATTTTTACCTACTATACAATTTATTTCCACTATGCGAGTGGACGTGGTTTCGGTGCTCTTGGTCTTGAAATTTTATAGACCAATGCATGACCAACGTGTGAGACCAAAATTCAATGTCATCTAAAAAATTTCTCTAATACACCAAAAGTATGTTTTCACATGGACAGCGTTTTAAGTGGGCGTGGCTATGTTGCAAGATAATGCTGCAAGACAATGTTGTACAGGACAGTCCTTGATTACTATACAAAATCATAGCTACACGCCTAAAAATATAGTTTAGTTCACTGCAATAGTTTTGTTTGGTACATTATGTTCCCAGTGGGCGTGGCCTTGTTGCCCTTGCTTTTTAGGAATCTATAACAGTGCTCCATAAGACAGTCTATGTCCACGATTCAATATTATAATCCTAAATACAAATCCACTAAAAACGTACCTCTGAAGGCCATATTAACCTCTTTCGTTCTATACCATTCTAAGTGGGCGTGGTTTCGTTGCTATCGATTTGAAAAAGCTGGCGGAGTGTTTCATAGGGCAATTTAAAATTAGGACTCAATATCAGAATACTAATTTCATAAAAATCTATATCAAATGTTCTCTATTCATGGATAATGTTCTCTGAATGGGCGTGGCTTCATTGCTCTCGATTCTAAGAGAACTAGAGCAGTGTTTATAGGACACACACACAAGCAAAATCTATAAGATAATATCGTACTCCTAAATCTAATATCCTATAAAAGTCTACCTGAGGAAATCGCAGTTACTTTTTCCTTTGTATGACATTGTTAGTGGGCGTGGCTTCGATGCTCTCGATTTGAAGAGAGCTAGAACAGTGTTCCGTGGAGAACCCGTTGAACCCATGATTCAATGTCATAACACTTGCACTCGTGTCCTAAAAATCTGCCTTAGAAGTCACTACGCCTTTCTGTGGCGAATAATATTCAAAGTAGGCGTGGCTTCGTTTCCCTCGATTCTGTGAGAACCACAACACCGCTCCACGGAGCGATTTCACTTCTGACTTCTTACAAGGGAAGGTCCCCAGAGTTGACGCTCACTTTTTGATGAGACTTGCGAGGCACTCCCCCCCCCCCAAGTTCCTGTCGCGTGGTGCCACGCTGCATAAGCCAGTGCATCTTGATAGTCTTTAATAACCAACTTTAACATTAATTATCTCAAAAACTATACGCTGTTGCCCTCGAAACCGAGTATTATTGGATTCAGTTTTATAAGCTCTATCAATGTACCAAATCTCATCAAAAAGTAAGGATCAATCCTGGGGATCTTATCCTGTTAGATCACTATAACTGATCCCCAATGGGTAGAAACTTACTTCTCAGTTAATGTCGACTATTTTTAATAACATTGAAAACATTCCCGGGTCTTCCATATCTAATGACTTCATGAAATTGCAGGTTCGACTTTATTATAGTTGGTGCCGGTATAGCCGGCCCAATAATCGCCAGGAGATTGAGCGACAATCCTTGGTGGAAGGTGTTGCTCATCGAAGCAGGACCAGAGGAGCCGACGATGACTGCTATACCAGGCCTGGCGTTCCATGCAATAAATTCGACTCTAGACTGGAAATTGAAAACCGAGCCTACGGAGCCCCACCCGACTGCTTGTTTAGGTACACTCCTGACATTCCACGTTTGCTAAATAAATTGGTATCTAAACAAAAAGAGAAAATTGAGAACTGCAAAATATCTCGCTCTTTTAAGATACTATTTAAACATATTCACAATAAATGTTTACAATAAAAGAATGTATTTTCATATCTAGAAGAATTTTGAGAAATGTAAAATTAGAAATTATTCGAACATTTTCTAACAGCTAAATCGTAACAAATTCTCAAATTTGTAAACTCTTCAAAAGTTGAAAATTCGACGTTTCTCACTCGAATAATTATATATATATGGACCGTTTATTTTGAAAGAGGTGTAAGTCCTTTTTTTAAAAAAAATGAGATATGACGTAATTTATGCTTTATTTAGTGTAAACTTTTTGTTTATAACTAGTTAGTAGTTAATATCTTAAAAAATGCCAATGCTTTGTTCAATTTAAAATTGACCGGTAAAAAAAATTGGGTAACCATTGATTATGAAAGTGGTGTATGTCCAATTTCCATAGACAGGTGGCGGGGTTAGTGGCCACCGGTGGCTTCACAATTATTTTATTTGCTATTTATATTGTTTTATTTTCGTGCCAAAAGTTACTAGTTTAGGTTACTTATTTTATTTTCCTCCAACAATGGATAATTTCATATTCACATCAGATAGTGATATAGGTAAGAAGAAATAGTAAATCAATGTTATTTTATGACAACATTATTTTATGACAATTGAAAATAGTTATTTTATTTTATTTTAAATAAATTTACACGCGGAAATAAGACCCATGAATATAAACAAAAGAATAATCTTAGAATCGGAGGATGAAGATAATTCTACTATGAAAAATAAATTAATGAAGTGTAAAAAGAGAAGAAGAATTATAGAGATAGAATTTTCATCAGATGATGATATTGTTACTGAGAAAACTTGGATTCTGTAAAAGAAAATAAAGGAAAATATACGCAACGAATAAACAAAATTAAGCGAAATGCCGGACAAGAGTATTTTACAAAAAAAGGAAAATTCATTCCGGCAAAAAAAGAAAGTGATATTTGTTATTTCAAAATTGAAATTAAATGATATTTACAATTGACTAATTATGAAAGTGGTGTAAGTCCATTTGCAGCCTGGAAATTGTATATTATTTTAGTTAAATTCGCCTAAAACAAATTTATATAATCAAATTACATATTGATAAATTAGTACAAACATTCCCAGACTTTACATAATTAACCTATATTTTTTAATTGTCAGATCTGCTAACATTCAATTTTCTCGAAACGAAAGAAAGTGGACTTGCACCACTTTCAAAATAAACGGTCCATATATACAATAATTCTTAAAAGTCGAGGACGCCTAAAGCCAATAAAATTGCACGGGAACAAAGCGTTAAAAAATTCGTTGCAAAATTATGAAAAATTAAAATATAGAGCACTGATCAATTTCCACCGTTTACTGCGCTCTAGCATAATTTCTCCCACCAGAAACGTTCGGTGTGTGCTCCTGGCCACGCGGGAAGATGGTGTCCGGTACCGGGGGTCTTCACGGGATGATGTACGTTCGAGGACACCCGGAAGTCTACAACAGCTGGGCAAGGAACGGCGCCTTGGGCTGGTCCTACGACGAAATTACGCACTACTTCGAACGCGCCGAGAACCCCACCGAGGAATCGATGCTCTCCGGCAAACGTAGAACAGTCCCAGTCCCGGGACCAATGAAGATAGAATACTTTAGAGAGAAGCCCGCGTTCGCCGACGAGCTCCTGAAGGCCGCTGATGAGTTAGGCTATAGGACGTCCAAGTTGAAAGAGTATACGCAAACAGGGTTCATGGTGGCCCCTATGACGACGCAAAACGGGATGCGAGGAACAACTTCTAGAAACTACCTGAGGCCAGTTCATGGCAGGAGGAACTTGAAAGTTTTGATCAACGCGCACGTGACGAGGGTTCTGCTGAACCAGTGGCAGAGCAAGGCTTACGGCGTCGAGCTGGTGGACAAAGATGGCTACCGGAGGATCGTCAAGGCCAACAAAGAAGTCATATTGACTGCTGGAGCTATAGGCTCCCCGCATATACTCCTGAACTCGGGGATTGGACCAAAAGATGACCTCACAAAATTGGGTTTGTTCATGTTGGATTACTTTCTGTCCTTGAAACGTTGCTGACAATTTTAAAGATGTCATTTGGGTCTATTTAGACTGTTACAAGCTTTTGAATCATTTGTGATCATTTATTTTACAAAATTGAAAATGTGTTTTTACATCTAGAACCGAGCGATTCCTGAGACGATTTGAAGCAACTTTTTCCTTTGCGAAAATGTTCCATGTCGACCCATTGACGAGTTATTAACAGAAAACCAATTAGAGATCGAGTATGGCTGGTGCCCCGCCCTCGGGGTAGCTAGCGCATCGTAGCAATGGCGCAAGGGCGGGGCGTCAGCCGTAATCGCTTATTCATTGGTCCGCGTTTGACGTTAATAACTCGTCAACGGAGCCAGGTGGAACATTTTCGCAAAGGAAAAAGTTGCTTCAAATCACCTCAGGACACGCTTTCCCAAATATAACGGGAGCTTATCAAATTTTATACCTCTTCTTCAGTTTTTGGTGAAAATATCCCACTGTACGTTAACTCGTTTTCTCAAACAATAGCAAAGCATTAAATAATAACATTTTTAGCCCATTAGCTCAACTATCAAAATTGTTGACAGGTTTGAACGTCATCAAGGACCTCCCTGTGGGCAGGAACCTGCACAATCACGTCTCTATCGGCGTCCCTTACAGCATCAAGGACACTGCCTACGAAGCTATGACCATGGACAGCGTCAACGAATACTTGGAGACTCGTAGTGGCTCCCTAACTAACACCGGACTGACCCAAGTGACAGCGTTCCTCGAAAGCAGCTATGCTGTTAATGGTGTTCCCGACGTGCAGGTGTTCTTCGACGGGTTTTCTCCCAAGTGTCCGAGGACTGGGCTACCGTTCGAGTGCTTGAACGGAGCGCTGGCTTTGTGCTCGGACAGGAGAGAGATTGTGATGAGACCCACCGCAGTAACTGTTGCCAGTAAAGGATATTTGAAGCTGAGGTCTGGAGATCCTATGGTGCCGCCGCTTATTTATCCGAATTATTTCACTGATCCGAAAGACATAAAGGTCTTGATCGAGGGCATTAAGAAGTCGAACGAGCTCGTCAACACCCAAGCCATGAAGAACTGGGATTTGAGGATGGAGCCTGTGGTTCATTCGCTTTGCACTGAGTAAGTGTCGTTTCACTTTAAATTGATTAATCTTAATTATTAAGATTTGAGTTTCTTGGGAAGTTGATGTATAGAGTGAGCTGAGGATGAGTAGGTTTATTCAATAATTTTTTTGCGTCTTAACTGTACATGCAGTATAAATGTTTCTTACGTAGATCCATTCTATAGACTGTCCTCAATATAATGGTATATTTCTTATGAGATTGTGGATATTTAAACGTATTTAAATAATTTTTAAAATAAACGAGAGACAGTGTCAAACATTGAATTTATAAATTCTCAATTTTATGAATTATTTGTCCTTGCATCATAAAATTTATATAAAAATATCTCATATAAAACAATTCTGAAAACTTTCTCTAATGTAATGATATATTTTTTAATAAGTTTGAGTTTGTTTGAGTTTGTTTGAGTAATGTTTGAATTAGGCGAAATGAGGGGTTCATGAAGTCAATTGAAGTAACTCTTTCCTTAGTGCAAATGCAATCCGTGGCTTTGTTTACGAGTTATCAACGAAAAATAATGACCAATAAGAGGCGAGATCAAATGGCGCTTGTCGGCGCAGTGTCAAATGTCACTGCTTTTTGCTAATAACTCGTAAACAAAGCCGCGGAATCTCCCACTTTCTGATTTTGTATAATTTTTTGGACAGCCTGTACAGGATACTCCGAACACGATGATACATTTTTCTACAAGTTTGCAACCGTTTGAGCATGTTTGGACACTGTTTGAAGCGACTTAAGCTCTATTGCACATCGAATTGGACACTTTACTTTTGAATAATCATCCTAACAATGAAACAAACTTCAAATCGTTTGCTATTGTTGCAGCTACCATTTCGCCAGCGACGCATACTGGGAATGCTACATAAGAGCTGCCACAGGTCCCGAGAACCACCAAGCAGGCTCTTGTAAAATGGGCGGCTACAACGATCCGTCAGCAGTGGTGGACCCAGAACTTCGTGTCCGTGGTGTGACGAACATTAGGGTCGCCGATGCTTCAGTGTTCCCAATTGTGCCAAACAGTAACCCGATCGCTGCCATCATGATGACAGCCGAGAAAGCTGCTGACATGATCAGGCACACGTGGGTGAAATCGTGAACCTCGACAGTCCGATTTTTAGGACAACGTAGAATGAAAACTATTATTTTGAAATGTGACAATAACTTTATTTAAGATTATTTTAATTCTCACGAGATAGGTTCGTCTTAAAATATTAGACCACGGACATTTATGCGCCCTTCACTCCTGAACATCGCCGAACACACAGTCAAACATAATCAAACGTTCAATCAAATTCCATACATTTACATGCCAATGCAAAGAAGCTGCATAAATGTTAGTGATCTAATGGTTATTGCTTTTAACGTGTTGTTAGTACACAAAAAGTGAAGATTTTTATTGTACGGCTCAGTGAGCCTTCTCGACAGAATGCGTGTTACATTGGGTGTTCTCCGTCGTCTAGGAGTGTGTTCAAAATGTGTGACTGTTACAGTTTTGATGGTCAGTTTACATTTAACCGTTTAGCTATTCGATCAAGGTCGCCGTCAAGATCGTTTCAACGTCATAATTTAGTAAACTATTTCATAAATGTTGCAAAGTACAAGAGAGAATGAAAATTGCAAATAGATTTTTGTACGCGGTTTACAGAAAATTTTTTAGTCGAATCTCACGATCGTTTTTAGCGATAATCACTGGTGCCACATACAATATTTTCATTCTAACACAAATTTGATTTTGTTTAATGTTAAATTATTATTGTACAGCGGAATCGAATCGGAATAAAAACTAAATGCGTTAAAAATAAAAAGAAAACAATAAGTTTGCTTAGAATATTTGTACGACCTTCAACGTCCTTTAAATAACTGCCATGACCAAAAATGAATGAAACGATTATCAAAGTCACGTGAAGTTTATGACATACGGGTTGTTCAATTTGTCTCAACCTCGGTTAACACGTGACGATGATAAAAAGTACATTGATTGTTTGAAACAGTGTCGCTGACCTTGGACGTTTAAAAATAAACGATCTTGAGAACAATTTTCTGTTTATTATAATAATATTTTATAGTTAATATTATATTTTATAATTTATTAATTATAATGCGTCTATCGTAAATATTAAGCGAGATGTTGAAGGTGATCGAGTTTGGATCGGGCACCCGGCATATTGTATACAGCATTATCAAATCATTAAACGCGGGAACTATTCCATACAATCGCATTTTATCTGTGAATTATACTTGTTGAAATACATTGTACATGCATTTTATATATTAATACATATTTGACTGTTAAATATTCGATAATTAAAAATTAATTATTAAATGTTTATCGATATATAAATAGTTCCGCTGTTGCATTTTTGCAAAACTGAAAAGATCGAATAATATGGTTAGAAAACAGAGAAGACGAAGTTCTTAGAATGAGTTAATAAAATTACAAAATACAATAAATTCTCCCTAATTGACGCTCAGATTGTACACAAAAATTTACAATTAGGGAAGCCGCAAGGCTCGAATAATTGTATCTTATCTTCAATGACATACAACAGTACCAAATAGCAATATTCAAATTGTATTGTCTGACAATTTTTGCAGTCAATTGTGTCAAACTAATAATTTTCACATTGATCAGTAATTAGCAAAAAGATCATTGTCGAGTATAACTACAATTAAATGTTATGAATTCTATATCGTGGATTTGGTGGAACAAAATTGCCACGAAATTAATGTTGACATTGACTTTGATCTTGATCTTGACTTTGACCTTGAAAAATCAGCGTAAATTCTTCTGCTTGTATTGTAGTCTACACAAAAATCTCAGAAAAATTTAATGGTATAAAATGATAGGTATATTATTTATTATAATCTATTATAGCCTGTATTTATTATAACAATTATTTATAATAACTTTTACAATAGCGTTTTTCATAACCTCCTGTTTAATAGGTTAGATCCTATTAAAGCTACTAACAAGTAAATTCTCCCAAATTGTCCCTCAGGTTGCGTACAAAGATGGACAATTTCGGAAGCGGAGGTACGATTATCAACAACTATAAAAACGAACTACAAGGCTCGAATAATCGTATCTCCTCTTCTTAAATTGTCCATATTTTATTACAAACTGAGGAACAATTGGAAAGAATTTATTGTGCTTACATTGTTTCTGTGCTATTCCTACGCCTATGCTAATGTTCGTCGGCGTATGATACGCGCCGCTGCTCCCTTTGACCAGAATACCCGGTATGACAACTCATAATGCAATAACATAGCTTTTTCAACTTTAACATTTTAAAACTGAATGTTTTTTAACATATGAGCGATAGTTTTCTGACCAAAATGAGATCAAACATGATGAAGTTTGGACAGATATTTGTAGTTAAAATAAAAACAAACACACACGATATAATTTCGATTACAATGTCCATCGAATGTAGGCTCGTTCTCTCACATTGTTCATCGACTCGAATAGTATAGAGACTCGGATAAAAAAAGTTGAAAAAATGCCAATTTTTGTCTATTTCTATTGTCTCAATCGATTGCAATTTTTGGAAACAAATTTATAGTCATTGTCTAGGAAACTAATCCCTTTAAAAACTAATCAAAATTTAGTTCACATAGCCCAGTTATTGGAAAAGTTATTGGGCTGCCTGTATAACGAGTGTACAATAATGTTGAATCCTTGTTCTAGTAACTTCCTCAATTTTGTTCGATTCATAACTTTTGTATCCGATAAAATGTTTCTCTCTTTCCTGTCACTTTAAAATATTGAAATATACGGCAAGCAGTGCCAAACAGCACAGTTGACAGTACTAAATTATTTTTAACAATTTTAACGTAGCTTCAACGTTCTATAATCAGTTACAGATCAAGATAAAATAAATATCAAGATGGATATTTTGCACAAAAAGCTTGATGTCAAATTCAGGCCAAATTGCTGACTAGGTACATGCATTATTGCAGGAAATATGTGCAAAATGTTGTTCAGCGTTACAGGATTCACTAAATATGTGTATACCTATAATTATAAGAAAATAAATATTTTCTTGTATTATTGCAATTACAATAATGATAATTGAAAGATAATTTGAATGATCAACAAAATTGATTGCATGCTACGTTTAGCGTAATCGAACGAAATTACAAACGCTTCTCTAATGTATATCAAAATAAAACTTCTAAATTGTCATTTTACAATTTAATTGTAATTTGATTATTGTATTAGAAATGACCTCGACGTAGAATAACAGCTGCAATGATATCGTTTGAGCCTAATACATGTATCCCTATGGATTATTTTGCTCTTGAATAACTCACTCTGTACATAAATAGAATAGTGAGTGGTTGTGTGTGTGTGCGTGCGTGTGGGTCATGTCGTAAATAGTGTAAGAAAAAAGAATGAGATTGTAATGATAAGAGTGTTATCGGTGCATAGCATTTTCCATTCAGAACAATCAGTGCACTAATGCATCACAGTTACAATCGATAAAAAATTATTTTTAAATTATTATAAAATCATTGTAAAACTATTGTCAAATTATTGTGAATATTAGCAAAACGATCTTAAATTTTTAATCTTTAAGATTTATTTGTAAATAAATCCTTTATTATTTATTCGTAAATAAATCTTTTATTATTTGCTAAGAAACAAATCTTTAATTACTAAATTTATTCGTAAATAAATCTTTTATTATTTACTAAGAAATAAATCTTTTATTACTAAATTTGTTAGTAAATAAATCTTTTGTTAGAAAATTCATTAGTAACGACATCATTTATTAGTAATATCATTAGTGAATAAGTCCTTTGAATCTTAAGAAACACACACACACACACATTCATGATCTTCATAATACATAGGTCAGGGAATGTACAAGGTGTCCCGCATTTTTCCGTACATACTTCGGGAGTATGTTCTTATAAGCTAAAGTAAGATTAAAATGTTATACAACAGGAAGTCCATAAATGCTCTGTTCTGAACTCTTATGTGAAAAATAAGAATAGAAGGATAACTTACAAGAGACGAATTAATTACAATAATCAGCCCCGCCTGCGAGGAGATTAGACAAAATCACAAGCAAATGAAATTAACAATAAATTCAATAACTCCTCGATGTCAAATTTGCATTAACAAAGGCAAGCGTCAGTTCGAAATGGAGATATACAGGGTGTCCCAAAAATGTCTCGCAATCCGAAAATGGAGATTATTAACGAAAAACAGTGACCAATAAGAGGCGAGATCAGCTGGCGCAAAACGACCTAGCCAATGAGCAGAACTGGGCTTCGTGCGTTCGTTGGCTGGGCCGCCTCGCGTCAGCCGAGCTCGCCTCTGATTGGTCGCTGTCTTTCGTTAATAACTCGTAAACAAAGCCGCGAATTAAATTTTCGCTAAGGAAAAAGTTGCTTCAAATGTCCTCAGGACATTTTCGGATTGCAAATCCGTTTTTGCACATCCACGTTTTCGGATTGCGAGACATTCTTGGGACATCTTGTATAGTCCTCACGTGACAAGAAGACACCTTTGTTCCCTTTTACTATTTTCCTCACTGCCACAGCTATCGGTTGCTATTGGTCGAAAACGGTAACGAAAATCGACGGCGGTCAACAGCGACCAATAGTTGCGGCAGCAACTAGTAAGAGGGGGAATGTAAACAGAAAGGTGCCTTCTTGTCGCGTGAGGACTATAGCTATATTTAACAACGTTTAGATCATATTTTGTATTTTTGTCACAAATTCTTGACAAAGCGTTTATGGACTTTTTATTATATTACATTTTAGTCTTATTTTTCAGAACACACACCTGAACTATCTACGGAAGAATTTCCTTCTATAGTTGTCTATGAAATACATCGTCTTATTAAACAGATAAGCGATAGCTATATATTTCGGAACTGAATAAAAATATGAAAATGTTCTTTTTTCGATCAGTCATAATTTTTCAGAAATTAAATTCCGTAGAAAGTTTTGTAATTTTATAGAATTCAAAAGTTCGCAGTTGTGAGAATCGTTTGTGCTTTAATCGCATAATTTATTCGAATTTTTTTTCTTACAAAACAAATTTGTAAACACCTCCTAATGCAATAATATATTTTTCAAAATAACAATGTACATATTTATTAACGTTTAAACGATGTTTAAAGAAATCGAGAAGCCCGTAATAAATTAACTGGAATTTTCAATAAGGATATTTTTTTAATTGGAACGCACTAATTGTCTTAGATATTTATTATTAACTGATTTACAAAAGTAAACAACCCAAAGCGAAATTTGTCTACATAAAAAAACCAACAATATAGATTTCACTTTCGATTGAATACTTTCGTTAACAATGTCGTAATACTTATTTATAATAATTAAATTACTGATTGCAAACTTGCTTGTTTATATTAATGATTTAATAACGGCAAACATACTTGTTTATAATAATTCATTTAATGATTACGAAATCAATTGTTTATTATCACTGAATTCACGATCATATATAACTTATACTGCTCTATGTATAAAATACTATGAAAAACTGACTTAATAATAATTAGATGTTCGGCTTCATTTATGCCAACGTACGAAATAACACGGTGGAAGAATGACAATCTTCTTGTGACACGATCGTCGAATTCGGTATCAATTTATAAATACGAAAGAACGATAACACCTCTTTCTAACAGTTACACCACGCCTGTCGCGAATACGATCGAATGATATCAGCTGATAACACTGCAGTCCAATCACGATACAATTCGGACTACGTTTATTGACAAGCTTATCATTATACCGGGTGAGTCGCGTAACTTGTACATTTCAAATAACTTTAAATTAGTTGATCTCGAAAACTTGGAAACCACTTTACATACAAGAGCCTCTGCTCACCTTTAAAATCACGTATTTAACAATTTTTCATAAGAAGCACAATTTAAAAGTTATTTGACGCGTGAAAATTACATGACCCACTCTGTAGATCGCATGTTAATTAATTCGAGAATAGCCGAACATGATCAGAATTACATCGTGTTTATACTCATTTTAATTGGAAAAATCTTATCTATGCTGTAATTACAAAGGTAAATATTGAAAATTACTAAAAGTGAAGTTTTATTGCATTTAAGAACTTTTCTCCTTCTTCAATAATTTTAGTAAATCGAAAGTAATATATTAACACATGTATTGCAGACTCTCATTTTTGACATGAACAAATAAAATTCGTAGTTTAGTAATATATTACATTTTTTACACTAGAAATCTTTGGAGGTGAGCAGAACGCATAAGTTTAACAATGACAAATTATTGAATAATCAACTAATGTTCAATAACGATAAATTATTGAATAATCAAATAATTTTCAATAATGATAAATTCTTTTTTCTGTTCATTCCATGTAAGAAACTCTGAGCACAAGAAATATAAAACCTACTACGATCATCACGGTATCGGGTTACAGTATCTTGTCTCCCTAAAATAATTAACTCCCACAGAACGAATGATCAAATTAGCTAATTAAAAGAGAACGAATGCATCATTGTCAGTTACAATCCAGCATTCCAAGTGCACAGTTTGAATTCAGATGGACTGTAAGAATTCCGAAAATCGTAACTTTAGACATAGTTATAAAGTTATCATAGTTATCAGTATAGTTACAAAGAAGATATAAGCATAATTATCAAAATATAGTTTAAAGTTTCAATCGGCAAAAGAACAGTAAAGTTTTAAATGCAAACGTCAAACTTATACAGAGTGAACAAAATAACTAGATCACTTTCGATCCTTGTTTTTGACAATGCAAGAAAAAATGTTAAGGGAATTTTCTACGATCGAGAGTAAAAGAATCGATTTTTTGATTGCATTTTTTGTTAAGTTTGAATTCTTGAAAATATGTTCGCCTTTTTAAAAATTTTAGTGAATTTTTTACGAGCTTTTCGATTTCTTTAAACATCCCTTAAACATTAATAAATATGTACATTCTTATTTTAAAAAATTTATTATTGCATTAGGAAGTGTTTATAAATTTGTTTCATAAGAAAAAGCATTCGAATAAATTCCACGATT